TCAAACTTGTTTCAAAATGTATTAAAGTCCGTGCTAAACAAAATCAAAACCGGATGGAACGAGCTACCTGGGTGCAAAGCTGCAAAAGTTATGTGTAAAACGGTAGATCGGAGGTACACGAAATTCCTATGGGCACTCGACAGAAGAGACTATAGGAATAAGATCAAAATACTAACTGATCACTGTCCGCTGTCCTCGCACGCCTGCGGATTGGGGCTGACAGATCGGGAAGACTGAAGCAAATGTCTAGAGCAAGACACCGGAGTAACAATGGAGCATCTTTTGTGCGCATTGCACTATAAGCATCTGAAGTCCCCACGGTATGATACATTGTTAGAGGTCTCACAAAGTCTGTTGAAACTCGCGTCAAACGCAGGCATGCTAAAGGATGACTACTCTTCATGGACCTAGTAACTCAATTCCATCTCCATCCTCATGGACCTAGTGAGTGAACTAAATCTGATATCGCAAAGGACCAAAACTTGTTTATGAATGGCTCATTGGCCTACCAGTGTAACCTAACCTGCACTTTCAATAGAAAATTATATTAATTTTTTTGCCAGAAACTATAATATACACCACCCTGTATATCAGAGAATCTTTGTAGATGTTTTGAATATTTGTTTGCAGACTTTACTGCCTGTCTTTGTTGACTCTTTGATCCCTGTAATTTCGTTAATAGTTCGCTGGCGCGCATTTATCAGACCCACTAACAAGTAGTTGTTTTCGTGCCGGCCGGTAATGGTAGGGACAGTGGTAGCCTCTACACTTTCTCATAAAATCAAAGAAATAACTACGGCACTAAAATTCGCACAAAAATCGCGACAATGAAAAGTATCCTCAGCTACCGGCCTCGACGAATGCGTGGTCACGTTCGTCAGGCAATATTATTTTTGTTTTGATTTCTAAATATGCACTTTTTCTCTTTGCGCTGCCCACTAGCACTTTTATTCTTACACACGCGATTACATACTCTATACTACATATATGCCAGTTGAACTTGAATGGACTCGACCGTCGACCGTCGGCCGGTAGCGCAACTTTATGCCTCACTATGACGCACTTTACGCTTTGATTGCATGCAAGTTCATTGCCCTGCAGACACATAACACACGGACGCAATGCAGCGGTGCGTGGCGCATGCAGTTTGGTGGTTTGCCGGTTGTTCTTATGCGTGTGAACGCTGACCGACCAACCACTTGTGCGCATGTGCAGTACGCTTTGTGGCCGATAATGCTGAATTTTATATATTGAATGCATGCGAACTTGCAAGTGTAAATATTTATGATGTGCACGCGAATACATCTTAATACTTCCTTTAACCATTTATAGCAGCATAACAGAGCCGTATTTGATTAGAGGCTCCTCGCAAATCTGAATGGAAATTGTATATTATTTCTCAGGTGGGTAATAGAGAACAACAGCTGGTATAAAACAAGCAGAAACTTGAACTCCAGCTGTATCGATGCTATAATACCCTTCACAAGTGCATTTTTATGGCATAAAAGGGTACAAAATGTATCTTGATTTTGGTCGGTCAGTTTGAACGTCAGCTATATGTTTATACGCTACATTAATTCGATCGGCGCAACATGTTCGCAGACTGTTGCGCTAACTTTGTCAAAAAAAACATTTCTTATTTCATGAAGTTATCTTGTGAAATGAAAAAGTTTTCCACACAAAAATTTGATTTTGATGAGATCAGTTTATATGACAGCTATTTGCTATAATAGGCCGATAGCGGTGCTACATGTAATCAGCTTCTTCGAGAAAAAGGATGTATAAAGTTTCAGTTCGATATCTTGAAAACTGAGAAACTAATTCGCGAATATAAAACTTCGTGACAAACTTTTGTAAAAAGTTTTTAAAAACTTAAAAACAATAAATACCACCGTATCCACTTTTTCAATATTCTAAAGATAGGCGATTAAGGGTAATTTCACTGTGATGATCCCTATTATATTACTAAGTTTCTTTTTGCTTAGCAGTTTAGCAGCTTAGCAGCTTTTTGGCCTGTTCACCATCAAGGGACTGAAAATAAATTTTTGATCCTTGCTTAAAGCAACGCTTGAAAGAACTGGATGGTCTGAGGCAGCTTAGGGGAATTATGCTCATAACTGCCCCCGACCGCGTCGACTCCGCTGCTTTCTTGTTCCCCATATTCCTATAAGACTGGGTGCACATAATATAACCCGAGTTACTTGCTAAAATTCTCGCTGTGGCCTGTTACAGATAGTCTTAATTGCTGCTTGGCTGCCCAAAAACTATACAATTCTTATAGCTAAAGTCTCGTATAAGAATTGTTAAAGTTTACTTTTTTAGTTTTAAACCATTACTTTTGAAATAGTACAAGGTGCAATTTACTTTATTCAAAATAGCCTCCTTCTGCTTCAATACAGCTTTTTTTACGATCCAAATGCATGTCGAACGAGTGTTTTAGCTCGTTGGCCGGTATGGCCGCCAGTATGCCGGTGCAAGCATTTTGAATGGCCTCTACGTCTGTAAGGCTTTCCCTTCATGGATAAATGCATTTTTCCGAAAAGGAAGAAGTCGCACGGTGCCATATCAGGGGAATAAAGGGAGTGGCTAATGGTTAAAATTTGATTTTTGGTCACAATGACGTCCTTTGAATGCTGGATTCCGAGCAATTTTTGGCCGTCAGTCAATTTGTGTGGAACAAGCCGTGCATACAGCTTTCGTAATCGATGTCTTAGAGATATTCAATTAAATTTTCTTGAATTTCAATGATGATTTCGGCTGATTTTTGATGAATTTACGCACAGTTTTGATGTTGGCTCTTTGTTCGAAGCTCATTTTCGCACCGATAACACAAACATACTGTCACTTAAAATGCAATAACTTCACTTCCAATCGATGAAATTAATGAAGAGCAGATTCTAACGTACCAGTCGAATTATAGATGACGCCACCAGGGGGCGCTAGATACAAATAGTCCTGTTTACTTTGGAACGCCTTTTATAGATATACTTTTTCGCAATCTTTCGCAATCGCCAGGATTGAACTCGTCGGTACAAGCAAGCACTGACTATTTCTGAACTTTTATTTCTAGCTATTGCTATCTCTATCAATTCAAACATCACATGGCCCCACTTTTTTGCTTCTTTAACATATTAACTCAGCTGTAAATGAAATTATAGTCCTCCAAGGCTTTGCTGAGTCCTTTTATTAATGTACAAAATATTATAGGTAAAGTCAAGCAAGAAAGAATAATCTGTTTCCCTACAAAAACTTTGGCGTTTACCATCTTTAGATATTTTTACTTTATAAACAACTATCTCTACGAATATTACATTGTTATATGATATTAAGAGAAATTTCACTTTTTTAGTCTTTGTCCAATATTTGGATTTGCGTTGAATATTATTCAGCCTGAAAAATCTGTCAAAATTTTAGTGTCTCAGAATATATGAGTAGGTGTTTTCCCAAAGTTCTTAGGTTTACCATGGGAACACAAGACGCTGAACTCAAATTTTGACGGTTTTCAAGCATAAATCGGCCGATACTGGTGCAATTTCACACGTAGTCACACAGGAAACAGTTTAAAAAAGTAACACGTTCACCAAACTTGGTTTTCAATGAATCGATTGTTACATTCGCTGTGTGGAACCACATATTTCCAAGTCCATATCATCCAAAACAGACCAAAAATATTCGGTTGTCATCATGGAGTATGTGGGCATTGCTGCCTGACCTATAACGCATAATTTGCCTATTTATTAAACCGTTCAGTCAGAAATAAGCCTAATCGCTTAAAATGGTTTTTCAATGAAATTCTGTATCATTTTCAAGTTGTTGCTCAGCCAATTCACGCACATACGACGACCTCACAGAGATGCCCAATGCTGGAGAACAACCTGGGAGAGACTGATTTGAGACTTCTACAATTGATGGGCTAGCGACAGCCATATTCTCTGTACTCACTTCTTTGTCTCACTGGCACGTTGTTGGATCGTATATCTTTCCATGTTACAATGGCAAACCTTACCGAAGAGAAATGTCAAAAAAGCGAAAAAAATTTGACGTCGTTTGCTGTCTCTATCGGTCTACTTTTGTAGCGTTCCTATGAAAAAATCCTTTACAATCCGGGAACAACAGATCTCCTATTGGGTCACACAACTTTTAACTTTACTTTGTTCTGTCACCCCTAGACACGTGAAGACACATGAAAATGTGTTTATATTATTAAAAGTAGGTATGGTATATCCATAGGTCCTAAATTGTAATCTGTATTTTTAAATAATTTCAAAATATTAATTGATAATCAAGAAAAAATTTTCCGAATATGTATTTTGAGCGCCCCACTATATTCATAGAACTGTGATATAATATATATTCTGATCTTCTCTCTAAACTATCTGATAATATCAAAGTCGAATAAGAAAAACTGATTGTTATAACGAAATTGGAGTTGGACCTCTGTAAATTTCTGTAGAACCAGTAGCTTTATCATTAGAACCTTCCTTCTTACATACATAAAAAAAGTACTATAAGTAAAAAAAAAATCCTCTAAAAGTTGTCGTACCAGTATTTTGTAGCCGCTTCTTCCTCATGGTCTCAGAAAACAATCCATATCACGCTTCCGCATCTGTCGTTTTTGTATGTACATAACCTCACCACGGTCATGGTCCATGGAGGCATTTGCACTCAACCGTTAATTTTACACTACATTCAACATACTCATAGACACATACATACATACATATATACACATATACATACATACATTAGTTATAATCTTAATTTTGTGTATAATTCGGTGTCACTCACAACAACAACAAAAGCAACACAGATTGGTGCAAACAAACACACATTCGGTCAAGTTCACAGTAAAAATAAAAAATTAATTTAAAAAAATTTACATAACATAAAATGTAAACATTAATATAATTTGTGTAACAAAATTCCATGTAAACTCATCGTTTATTGTTTTGCTATCTCTGGCACTCTCTCTTTCTCTCTCTTTTCTGCTCTCTTCGCAGGAGGTACTGGAAAATCGGATTGTCGAACTAGAAGAAGCGCTTTCCCACTTGCAGGAAAGATTTAATAATGTGAGTACCGTAGCATTTGTTCGTTATAGTGCTAAAGCAAAATAATGCAAAAACAAAACAAATAATAATAACAAAGCAAAATAACAGTTAATGAAGGAAAGTACACACAAAATAAATATAAAAGGCTAAACGGTCAACTGGCGAGCGAACTTCGCATTAGAACCCATACAATTGCTAACGAAGCGCGCTTATAGGCGCCGCCGTCGTCAAAGTGTCAATGCGGCTGACAGCGAAGGCGATGAACGACGAACAATGGCGTATAACGGACAGATAACAACTTCGACCATACATACTTACGTAAATAACTGACGACGGCATCTCAAGTCTGCATAGAACTCGTTGATAACGTGCCGAAGTTCGAATTGAATTAAAGTGAGAATAAAAAAACACACACACACAGAGACACACTTTCCTTCGCAGATTCATTACATTTCTGTTGTTTGCTTACCCAGTAGTAAAATAAGTTAGTTCAGGAGAGAAATTAAAATGAGTCAAAAAAAATTTCAAAATTTCTGTTTCTAATTATAAATATTTTAAGTCCAAGTCTTTTAATTATTATTTTTAACTTTCTCAATTTTAATTTAGTTCTTATTTATTATTATTTTTTTGACTAAATAAATTTTGGTATTTTTATACCCTGAACAGGGTATGTTAAGTCTGTCTCACTATTTATAACACCCAAAAGGAAACGTCGGAGACTCTAAAAAAATATACGAATTACGAAAGTCCCTAACATGATCGGCGAATATGGATCTCTAAATGAAAATGTGTCTGCACATTACAAAATCCTCGCATGGTTTGCTTTAATACTGGATCTATTGGATTATGGAGTCTCCAAACCAAATTCTAGCGATATTTTCTCTGCCCACATACCTGCGAAGGAATTGTGAGCTTCTTTACAGTTGGGTTAATGGAGGGAATATTAGTGGAGGTGTTTACCAGGTCATTGTCAGGAAATCTCTTATTAACTTCAGCTTTACACTTTCTGACTACTGTATTATTTTACAAGCCGAAGGTGCTGCCATTAAAGGATTGATTACTTAGACTTACTACTCCGAAGTGCACCTCCTTCAAAGAAATGTGTATCCAATCTGATAGCTGAGTTACAAAAATTCTTCAGAGACCCTGATCCAATCTGATATCAGGGCGGCTATTTCAGCCTTAAGCTCACTAACCGTTATCGTTATCAATGGCATCCAGTCACTTTGTGATAGGACTAGTACGGGTGCCAAGCCACATCGAAATGACAGGTAAATGCACCTAAGCCCTGCTATCAGCAGAATGGGAAGGGCCCTGTGATCCACTCTTCATGCGTGCTCTACTGGCTAGGTTTCGCGGGAGCTTGGGTCCATCGGTTCTTGCGCAGTCTACAGCAAGAGATCAAGTAAATTCGTCGCATTCAATAACACCAGCTTCTCCCTAATAGTGAGGGTTCTATGAGACAACTGCATTATAGGCGTCCACGTCGAGAATGTTACCGGATGCCAGCTGCAGAAACTTTATGGAAAAGCGAGGTGGAAACGTCTTAACACTTCCTTCTTGATAAATTCTTGGTAGCTCATACTTGCAGTTATCACACTGTTCAGTTCAAAGTTATATTACAATAATCTGGTTTACAACCGTCTGTCAGTTAAGTTCTGGGTAACTTAACCAAGACCCATTATTTTATTAAAGAATCTGTTTTTACTAGAATGTCTGGTTGGCATGCATCTGTAAGTAAAGTTTTAGATAGCTTAGCCAAAACTACTTCTTTCGGCAGAGAATTTTTAAACAGAACTTAACTGGCAGATGGCAGCTAGTCAGTGTTTAGAAAATGGTCCGAAGGCCGGTTAATTAATTCATAAGTAAGGCTAGTTAAAGTATCTATCTCTACAAATGTTCTGTCATCTCATCTCATGACATTCTAATTGCAATTATCGTTAATCTCCCGCTAACGGTTAGAATTTTAGTTTTGCTCACACACTTGACCTCTGGAATTTGGATTTAAAGTCTGCCAGCTATAATCTTTCTTTTTGTATAACTTTTTTGATCAATTGCCATTATTTGTCTCATAAATGGAACAAATAACACAATTCTTGAGACGATGGAAGCTTACAACACTTCTTTCTTTCGTATGCTGGAATATAATAATGTTTAAGCGCATTGATGAGCTCAGCTTCTTTTAAAATTGTCAAGAAAGTAGTTTAGGAACTAAAGCATCAGCAAATTTCCACGTTTACAAGAGAATACATGCTCGAAGAAATATAAATATATATTTGCTTGCAATGGATAAAGTACTTATGAGCCAACCATGCATTCACATTATAGCCAATAATGGTCAACCGACATTCAGTCAGTCAGTCAGTCAGTGTGGCGGTCGGTTGTGTACCCCAGCGAATGCATTAGAAGCAATATAAGGAAGTAAATGTTATGTGGCAGTGTGCGCGCAAAGCTGATGTGGCAACTTAATTTCCTGAAACGGACATTACTCTCCAACAACATTCCAGCACACATGCCAAAGCACTAACGAACATACATACATATGTATATATATATATGTAGTTATATGTAGTCTAAAGCCCATCTGCCAAACAAGTGAATGCTTGATTCTTCAGCTCTAGATATTTGCGACAATTCAGTTGTCCATCGCTGCACGCCATTGAAAGAAGGTAGCAAATAAACAAACCACTGTTTGCGGCACCCAACGGCATGCACGGCGTCCAGTTGTTGAGTAAATTACGAGGCAATATTCCAACACCCATCCGAGTTACTGGCAAAATCCCCCACCCACCTCATAGTGTTTAGCCCCAACTGATTCGGTTAATGTTTGGGTTGAAGCAGGAAATGTATCCAATATGCTTGGAAAAGCATTGCTGATACCCAATTGTATAAATACATACACATGTACGAGTGCGGTTCGATAAGTATCTACTTAGCCTAACCGTAAAAGAGTTTTGCTAACAAAATCTCAGCCGAATAAGGCCCTACTTTTGTTTTGACCTTGAGTACGCGAATTTTAAAATTTTTGGTGCTATAACGCTTGGTTTCCACGTTTGGATTCTTCGAAAACGCTAAAAGAGGGGAAAGCCCACGGTCTTGAACTGGTAGACCGTTGAGTTATTCAGCTTTAGATTTCTGAAAAAGACCCGTCGTTCATCGGTTTCACTGCATGAATAATTGGGAAAGAAAAACTATGGATTGGAATCGTGAGACTACTCTACATTTAAGCAGAATCCGAAAATATAATAGCTAAGCGGCAGGATGGAGCCATGTGTAGAAAATCACGCAAGTGAGAAAATTTTTGTGAGCGCCATTCACTTGGGAGTGGCCAGACACTTCTTTTACATATAAAGCAACTCACGACTTCCGGTCTTAGACCAAGTATCCTCTGGGCAGACAAAGAACATCCGTTTGAAGTAGAGCTAAAGTGAGAAAAAAAACTATCCCTCCCACTGAAGAGGAAGCAACAGTCATAAGTATACTACCTGAAAATTGGAAAGGAAAAGCTGTGAGAGTATTAGTGAGACTAATTTACCTCAGTCTTTAAAGGTATTTAAGCAGAATCCTCATTTTAAGAGAGTCGAGAGAACTCAGATCCACAGATACACACCAAAGACCAAGAAACAGTGAATTTGTGCCAACAAACATATTTCCAAGAAGGTGAATAGTGTTCTATCAACCCAAGAGCTGTTGGCCACCGTTCTCTGAGGTTCACAAGGTTTGGTCTATATCATTTACCTAGACAGGACAGTTCCGACACCGAATTGCAGGAAAGTGCATTTTTTTCGAAGGAATAAAGCAGAATGGCATTGCCCACAATGACAATGTATCGGTTCACACCTACACGCCATGGTCAACGTGGTTCAACTCAGCTACGAACTGCTGTCCTATCCACCGAATCTTCAGAATTGGTACAATACAACCTCTTTAAGTACCCAAACTTGATATAATCACTCGCCGGACAGAGCTTTAGTTCAGTGAAGAAATTATTACCGTCACAGGCCCTGCAGTCCCCCGGACAACATATTTTTCAGACGAGTTAAAGAAGTTGAAAATTCGTCGGATCAAGCATATCGACCACAAGAAAAACCAGTTCGGACGACAGTCGGTTCTACGTAACCGGAACGAACACTGATTTTTAATCCTGTCAAGTACTGTAAACTCGGCAGAATTGTGCCGTTCCAACAAAAATAACGTGAAGAAAAATTGTGCTCGAATCCATTATCGTTTTTTTTTCAAAACATTTCTTGTTTTTTCTTATACTTTAGGTACTTATCGAATCGTTCTCGCGTGAGCTTATATTAGACCAACCCCCTTTTTCTTTCGCCTGCACACATGTCGGTTTCCCCACATAAATATTATTGTATGCTCGCCTCTTTAGTAGGTTGCTTCGTCGCTTAGCTTGACATACTATCTACACACATATACATACACACATAGATTTCGCAGCCGAGTTCGACTTCTATGCGCGCTCCATCAAAGTTTTGGGTATTTGGTTACTAAACCAAACAATTCTTGTGTTTCTTCGTCGCGCTTTGCGATTTATTTGCTCAGTGTTTGTTTTTGTTGTCACTTGAAGTATTTACTGTTTGTTTTAATACGCCCTATTAAGGGAGTTATACATACACACATGCATGCATACCATACATGTGTACGTATGTTCGAATTTACTATTACTGATTGCATGTGTTGCCGTTGTTGTTGTTGCTGTTGCCAGTCCACCACCCCATGCCATTTGTCAATTGTTTATACGCATGTTTTGTTGCGATTTAACGTCTCAAATGCGGAATTAAGTGTCTGACCACTGTCTGTCCATATGACACATTATGAAAAGCCATCACTAACGCTCCTCGTCGTAATACTATGTACGGTAATCTAAAGTAATGCAGTTAGTAATCGCGCAGTGAAGACTTCCAGGGGCAGGCATTTCCGGGTTTTACGACTGGCTTGAATGCCTTTAAATATGTACTCCAGAGCGTAATATTAAACCGATGATCACATACTATGAGTATAAAATCACA